TAATTGCTATTGTAAAACTAATTATATTTTTCATTAACAATTGATTAATTTATAAAAATTTATGTAATATAATTTATTAATTTTCGTAATACTAAGCTAGAATATGTAAAGTGAACATTAAAGTAGATTAAACTATATTAATGTCACCGGAGAACGGATTGGGNTTAATTTTAACAAAATCCAACAGGACAAACTCTATAGTTTTATTTTTGGTGCATTCACAAGATTGTTTGGGACTTCAAAGAAAAAGAAAAAGTATTCATTTAAACTACATTCAACAATTGAAACTCAATTGTATCGCTGATTTCTCTTATTATTATCGGGTTTATTACATAAATCTATCAAGTTCCCCACACGATTGTACGTGTTGGAAAGTACACACAAAACAAATGAGAAAACCACCACGAAGAAAGAAACGTAAAAATGATGATTTCAATTTGGCAAGATAGATCACGAGCTGGACTCATTAATGGTATAGTTAAATTTCAGTGACGTGCCATCCATGGAAGCTGTGGAAGTGCCGCTTTTTTTTATATTTTCTTAAATATAAATACATATTGTGCGATTATTCTCATATTTTAACATACTTTGAATTAATTAAAATTAATATTTTATTATAACCGCATTATGTATCTTATTACAAATTTCTATACTACATATATAAAAATTTGTAATAAGATTGAGAAACGTGTAGAAAATGATAATATTACTATTGTATATTCAAATATAAATCTGTATATGCATATTCCCAATGGAAGCGCCGTATTGTCGAATGAAGAACGGCTTCCATGGCAAAAATATCTGAATGGTGTAAAGCAGCCAGATTACAGGCATTCGTGCATGTGCCTAACAGAAACTAACCTCACGATTTAGCTGGTGGATGCTACACGCCAAAATATTGTATAATGCTTCCAATGATTCTATTCAGGTATTCAGGGCTAGCACAGCTTCCCTATCATTGAATGTCACCACATGACACTAGTATATTACTTTTAGATGAAAAAAAGTTTAATCTTAATGTGTTTGATGGTTGTCAAAAGCATTGGCACGACTTAAGAGCCGAAGGCGATTTGCAAATGAGTCAAAAATGATTAGTGGCTATGTGATGGTTTAGATTCTGGACCCAAAGAAAGACTGATATAATCTTCGTTTCTGGATTCTATTACGCTCTGTTGGAAGATCAACTTATTAAGGTACGGTCACATTGTTAGAGGTGAAAATTTCATCTTTGCAATACTTTGCTACAATTCAAAAATGACAAAACACTGGTTTTTATAATAAAGTTTTGTGGTGGCCTGCATGCTTTCCAGATCTGTGTCCAATACAGAATCTGTGGGCGGCTTCTTACATCCATTTACAAAGACGGGAGACAATTTCTAACAGTTGCAGACTCGAAACAAGCCATTCGAAAATATTGGGATTAAATTCCAGATGAGCTGTCAATTAGATTAATGAATTCAATGCCGGATAGCAAGTACGATGTTATTCCTCACTGAGGAAGTTACGCAAAGTATCAGTTCCTAAATTAATACGTTAATTTATTTTTTAACTTATAATTTTGTTTCTGTAAAATTTTGATTTAATATTATGTTTCCAAATGATTTGTGGGTATAAAACTATTTAACATATTAAAATAATAGACATAATTAATTATTTTTGCATATTATCATTTCATTTAAACAATTTATTTATATACAATCTAAAAAACACTACTTGAACTTACATTTTTGCATAGTATACAACAACTGGGAAATAAAAATAGACAAATTACTTGGTTTATTGGTTTTTACTTACGTAGTCGTAACGTTTGCGTAATTCAAACCATTATGTACGAGAAGTTTAAGTTGACAGAAAAGTTTTCTCTATGCATTATTGCTTACACACCAACTGTAGGTCCAAGACTAACAAACAAGTATACAGTTTAAATACAAATAAATAAACGTTTTTAGTCAAATACACTTTTTTTATTTGTCTGGTTAAATACAAGTAATGTTCTTAAAAACAAAACAAAATTTAAATCACTAGGACACTCCATTAACCTAACTGATAAATCCACGGATGCCAGTTAGCCAAAGTAAACCCAAACAGTCACTAAATACGAGGAATTATCAAAAACTAAGATTACAAAGCCTGCAGTGAAAAGTGTACATTTTATTTCATACAATACAGCCAACTGATAGTACATATATTAGGTTATTTTTCGACGTGGTCTCGATATCAGTTTAGGCACTTGTCACTTCGTGTGATGAGTTTGAAAATTCCCTCCTGGTAAAAATCCTGTCCTTGCTTTTCAGTCAAGTTGTCGCGAAGTGTTTCACTTCTTCGTCTGAAGCGAATCATCATCCTTCTAGGTTCTGCTTCAAGTGAGGAAACAGGTGAAAGTCGCTTGAGCGAGATCCGGACTGTAGAGAGGGTGGTCCCAGAAGACCACCACGTCATTGATGCAGTTTCGCTGGGACATCATCGACCACCCTCCCTACAGCCCTGACTTCCCTCCAAGCGACTTTCACCTGTTTCCTCACTTTGAAGGAGAACCTAGCAGGATGATGATTCGCTTCAGACGAGGAAGTGAAACACTTCGCGACAACTTGACTGAACACGCAAGGACAAGATTTTTACCAGGAAGGGAATTTTTAAACTCATCACACAAAGTGACAAGTGCCTAAACCGATATGGAGACCACGTCGAAAAATAACCTAATGTATGTACTATCAGTTGGTTGTATTGTATGAAATAAAATGTATACTTTTCACTGCAGGATTTGTAACCTTAGTTTTTGATCATCCCTCGTATATGCATTAAAATGCATCGAAATCATGATATAATATAGAAAAAACATTTAAAAGCCAATAACAATGAAAAATAAACTAATAACAATCGAAAAATAGAGACTAGGTACAATGGAAAAAGTGTAAACAATGATTGGGACTGTTATGATATCCATTGGGGCCAGTCCTGCTGCCTGCTTCTGGTGGAACTACCTGACGGTGCTTTCGTTTTACCCTAAATTCAGAAAACTCTCCAAGCTGAGCTCATGCTCGGATAAAAAAAATAATTGGATGATGTGGAGAAGTTGACTGCCTGGTGTGGTCAAAACGGTTCGCTTGCAGGCAAAGTTCGTGTCACACGTGGTGCCTGCCACAAAGCGAAATGAGCTGATGAATGACGTAAAAAGTTTTACATCATTCAAAAGTTGTACCTATACTGTAGTGTGCCAATGGCTCAATGGCATGGAGGAGAAAAACAAAATCCTACTTTGGTGTAATATAGTGTACACCCATGTACCTAGCGCCAATCTTCATTTCTTTAGCTTCTGTTGTCCTATCCTAAAAGCCTCCAGTTATAGGAGAAAACAGAACGGTTTTCTGCTAAAACTTTTTCAGGCGAAACTTGTGGCATGATGGGTAATAGCATCAGATCACAGGGCAGTTTTATCCTAGATTTATCCTAAACATTACTCTGGGAGGTTGAAATTACCCTAGAAACGGCAGCACTGGTTAGGACTGTTAGTGATTTTTGAAAAAACATTAGCAACGGAAAAATTTAAAAATCCCACGTTAAGAGATAGGATGAATTTTGAACCACTGTACTCAGCTAGTAATTAACCTACCTCCACCCCACTTACAGAACTAGTACATTACCCCACCCTACTAAAAACGCTAGTGCCGCCACCCTGAGAGTTTCATTCCCGTACACTAGACTCAGCCGAAAACTAAAGCCGTAATTACTCCCCCCTAATTGACTTAGATAAACAAATTGTCTACCAAATTTCTCGAGGTGACTTGCTGGATGCAATGATATTCTGCACAGAAACATGCACCAAAAACTTCTGCCGAAAATTTCGAAAAACTGGAGAGCACAAACAAATACGTCTTGACTATCCAAAACCACTTTGTAAAATATGGAAGCTGACAGCAGCCAATAATTAAAAAGTAGTGGCGTGCACTTTAATTTTCGTCAGCCTGCACCTGTCGCCACGCAAAGTTTATCGAATTTTTAAAAGTACTGTATCTGCCGAGTCGGCCAGTTGTCCAGCGCCCTTCCACACCCACCGGGATAAAATTGATTTTACTCAAAGACGTGGGTAATTCTTCGGGTTGCAAGTAATGTTGCCACTAGGCCGGTTTTCACTCCAACAAGCCAGTTTTTAAATCCGTGGTCCGGAATAATTATTAATTTGTCCGGTTTTAGTAGAAATTGTGAAATTATGATGAAACAAAATTAATTTATAAAAATATTTGCGAGTATTTTATTTTAACGGTTAAAGACGAGAGGTTGCGGCCGACGTTTTCATCGCGAAAGCGTGAACGTCGGACGTTCAGCGTCACCACCCTGTAAGCCTAGAAGTTTGACAATGGTGTTTGGAACGTCAGTGGAATCGTGCTCGACGTTCCGAACGCCATTGTCAAACTTCTAGGCTTACAGGGTGATGACGCTGAACGTCTGACGTTCACGCTTTCGCGATGAAAACGTCGACCGCAACCTCTTTTAACTTCACACCCCCACCCAAACTTATTCCCAACATATCCCTAGGCTAAGAGTGACAGAAAATGTATTTTTAAAATTCTAACTTGCAAATATCTGGCAAATATTAGGTTTGGTTCAACATAAGTCCCTAACTAGTTTAAAACTGGCATGTGCATTGTTCAGTTCTTTGCTGTAAAATGACATTGCGCATGCCTCATACACTTTCAAATTCAAACCAGTCAGGGACTTATGTAGGAAGAAACCTATTGTAGGGTCAGCAATTTTGAAAAGGTGGCAACACTAGTTGCAGGGAAGGTGGCGTCTTCCTGCGTTTTCCTCCCTACTTCAATTACTTAATTAAACCATCGATTTCTGGCTGGCAGGGGAATTATGGCTTGAACCAGACCGGTCTGTGTGGCCACTCCAGGGGAGGCAGCACAGGTGGGGTGGTCGGCTTCTGGTGGAGAAGGACCAGACCGGAAGCCGACGCGGAAGATTTTAAAGGCTTTAAAGCAAATGTTGTTTTATTGCAGACCACAGAGGAAGAGGAGGAGGGGGAAGAAGAGAAGAAGGGAAGAGAAGAAATGGTTTTGCATAAAGTATTAATATAAAAATATATATATTCGTCCTAGGCAAAAGGGCGAGGAAGCGGCCCGCCAATATTTGTGGCCCAAAATACAGGTCAGCGCATACCAAAGATATTTTTAAGGCTTTCCTTGTTATAATAGACAATGTTATTTTTATCCGTCGAGCGGATTTTGTTAATCCTATCGATGTAGTCTGTATTTACTGCAAAATTAAAGCGTTACGGTTATTACTGCCGTCCTCTTGATATTCCTTTCTCCACCCTAACAACTGCCGGCAATCAGACCCAACCGAGGCGGAGAAACGAGTGTTTTGGCATTTTCACCACCCACCAGGTTTTTCAGTTCTGTCGTCTGCCCCCTCCGTACTGGCCCAGCAGTCGGAACGGAACCGTCTTTTTCGTCCGCTTTGGACTGTATTCCGGTTACTCTGCAGGTGTGTGCCAGTTAACTGGAATGGTAAATGGAATGTCATATTTGGCTCGAAAATCTTTTAACTGCGGTCTGCTGGTGGATGGTGCCGCTTTCTACCAGAGAGACCAAGGTCTGTGTACTATATATAGGTCGGGACACACGTGACCTACTTCTGAAGTCGCCATTTTGGGGCTTTTTGAGTCGTATGTTTTTGTGAAATGTACAACGCGGGAGGAAAACACAAACGTGTTAACCAATTAAATTTTAATTTCGCGATAAAACAGATATATACAGATTCTTACTGGATTCCCGCTGTTCCTTTTCACACGTTTCCAACTATCCTCGGTGATCGGATATAATAGTGGCCCGGTAGTTAACTCCCTGCATAACTACCTACCTCCCGACTTATCTAACGCGCGCGAGTCTTAATCGAACTTTCATCTAATAGAGATAGAATCGGAAGAAAGGGGAAATGAGAAGGATCGTAGGACAGATGGGTACCCAAAATTCCGGCGACGGTTCTCCGCAGTTCCTCGTCTCGGCTTCCCAAGCTCGTACGTTCTCTTCTTAAAACAACCTGGCCCGTTTTGGGATTTGCCTCCAGATCTGTCAATCGGATTCTCCTCACGATCTGTTCTTTAAGGCCCTCTTCTGCAGTGCTCGTCGATCTCCAATTAACGAGCCTGATACCACACGTCCGTATCTGTTCGAGTCCGGCCCAAGAATGTCTCTTTTCCCCTCCAGTCTCGTTGCCGTCTATTATTTCTCCCCTACCTCCTGTGGGCTAGGGGTGAGTTTGAGTTCTCGGAAGTCCGAGACAAAGGAACAAAGAAAATTGGAAAGAAAGATAATTCTAAAGAAATAGAATATAAATTAAACTGAAACTATACAGAATAATATACGGTATAAAAAACAGACATACAGGCACATTTTAAACAAACTTGTATGAGCTGTCAGTTTTATACAACATTAAGCTGAAATTGCATTAAAACCAGTGATTTACAGTCTAAAAATATAATACAGTGGAACCCCGGTTAACGAACGTCCTGGTTAACGACCAAATCGGTTAACGAACTTTTATTTTGCAAAAATTTTGTCTCGGATAACGGTATTTTGTGTCAAATTTTAGTTGGTGTTAGGCATGCGCGAGTTAAGCATTGCTTTTCCGAGTGTTTGTGCTATACTTCTTTTTTCAGTTTTGTGATTTATATATTTAATCAATATAACATCCAAGAAAGAAAAAAGTCATAGTGGAAATAGAAAACGACAACGCGCTATCGCATTTGAGAAAAATTTTGATTAAAAGAGTAAGACAATCAACTTTAGATCAATTTCTTGTTCCTTACGGAAAG